TTTAGTTATTTCACATTCTCGTCAACATTTTGTATCATTAATCTTTATAGCCACCCTAATGGTTGAGGAGTGATAGATCATTGTGCTTTTAATTTGTATTTCCCTGATGTCTGGTGATGGTGAACATCTTATTCTTGTGGTTGTTGGCCGCTGTATATCTTCTTTTGGGAAATATCTGTTTGAGTCATTTGCCCATTTTGTTTATTGGGTCATTTGTCTTTTTGTAGGATTTTTGGGTATATTCTGGATAGGAGTTCTTTCTCAAATATCTGTATTGTAAGTATTTTTTCTCAGTCTGTGGGTTTCTTTTTCACTTTTTTTGACAATGTCCTTGAATGGGCAGCTGATTTTAATTTGATGATGTCTAATTTATCAGCACTTTCTTTAACGGTGATTGCAATATGAGTCTTACCTAAGAAATTCTTGTCTTCCTTAAAGTGGCAAAGATTTTCTTCTACGTTTTCTTTTTAGTTTTCACTTTTCTATTTAGGTCAATCACCCATTTTAAATGTGTGTGTGTGTGTGTGTGTGTGGTGTGAGGTAGCAGTCATGGTTCAGTTTTTGCTCATGTGGATATATAGTTGTTTTAGCACAGTTCATTGAGAAGACTTTTCTTTACCCATTAAACTGCCTAGGTATCTATGCAAAAAATCAATTGACCATTTATGTGAGAGTCTATCTCTGAACTTTTTAATCTGGTTGTATGTTTCCCCAACTTGGTTCTTCTTTTTCAGATTTTATTTTGGATTATTTTAGGTAATTTGTACTTTCATAAACACTTTATGATTACTTTGTCAATTACTTCAGAAAAGTCTATTGGTATTTTCACTGGGATTGTATTGAATCTATAGATCAATTTGCAGAGAACTGATGTCTTAAAAGTATCCAGTTTCAATTCATGAGCATGGCACAGCTCTCTTTTTGTCTAGGTGTTTTTTCATTTACCTAACCTGAGATTTTTAGTTTTCACTCTGGAGGTCCTGCACATCTTTTGATAAATTTATTCCTAAGTATTTTATATTTTTTATATCATTCTAAGTGAAATTATTTTTCATTTTTCAATTGTTTAATGCTAGTATATAGGAACAAAACTGACTTTTATATTAACTTTATATCCTTCAACCTTGCTAAATTCACTTAATTTTAGATGTTCCCTTGAATATTCCTTAGGCTTTTCTCTGTAAACAATCGTGCCATCTGCAAGTAGAAAACAATTATATCTTCCTTTCCAATATTTACATCCTTTCTGTTTTTTTCTTTTTCCTTTTTTTGGCCTTATTTCATTAGTTGGGCCACTAATAAAATGTTGAGTATAAGGGTTGAGAATACACATCCTTGACTTTTTCCTGATCTTAGGGGGAAGTTATTCAATATTCTACTTTTAAGAATAATGTTAGCTATAGATTTTTTAGTAGGTATCCTCTATCAGTTTGAGGAAGTTTCCTTCTTTTCAGGCTTGCTCAAAGATTTTAATCATGAATAAGTGTGTCAAATGGTTTTTTCTACATCTATTGAGATATAATGATAGGTTTTTTCTTTTATTCTGTTGATATGATGGATTACATTGATTGATCACATAATGATAAATCAGCCTTACATTGATAAGATAAACCCTACTTGGTTATATATATAATATATATATGTTGCTATTTCTATTTGTCAATATGGTCTTCTGGATTTTTGCAACTATATTCATGAGATCTATTGGTCAGTAATCTTTTTTTAACAGACATTGTCAGCTTTTGGTATTATGATAATGCTAACCTCATAAAACAAGTTCATATATTTTCTGAGAGTTTGTATAATATTTATATTATGTCTTATTTAAATATTTGAAAGATTTCACTGAGCCTGGAGCTGTCTGAGCCTTCCTGTTTTGTTTCTGAATGTGTCTTTATTTTGCCTTCAATTTTGAAGGGTACCTTTGCTCTACATGAAAATCTAGGTTGATAAATATTTTCCTCTCAGTATTTTAAAGATGTCATTTCATTGTTTTTTGATCATCTTTGTTTTTCATGATTTGTATGCTGTAATTATTATCTCCCCCATCTCCCCTGAAACATACTTAAATAATCTTTTTTCTTTGGATGCTTAAAAGATCTTTTTCCCCTTATTTTTTATTTTCAGCTTTACCCTTACCCATCTTTGTACTGTGGCTTTGCTTGCATTTATCTGGCTTGAGGTTTACTGAACTAAGATCTCTAGGTTGTTATTTTTCATGCAATTTGAAAAATTTTAGTTATCCTTTATTCATATAACATTTATGCCCTATTCTGTCTATTTTTTTCCAGCCTCAACTACATAGGTCTTCTGCTTGATATTGTCCTATGGAACATCTTTTCTCTTTTTGCTTCAGCTTGGAATCCTTTGCATTGATATGTTTTTAAATTGTTCTTTCTTAGTGTTCAATGTACTGTTAAACCTATCCAATGAATTTTTTTATTCCAGAGGTTGTATTGTTTATTTCTATGTTCCCATATTGGCCTCTCTTTCTATGGCTTATTTTTTCCCTGGATTATCATAAAAGTTTTGTTTCTTTGCATGCCTAATAGTTTTTAAGTGTATGCCAGACACTGTGTTCATACATAATAGAGAGCAGGTAGTTAAGTTATGGGTGGGTTTCCTTGATCATGATTTTAGCTTTGTGGGAGTGTGTGTGTGTGTGTGTGTGTGTGTGTGTGTGAATGTATTTTCCACATTTTTAATCTTAGTCCCAGGTTATAACCCATTATCCTGGGACTTGTTTCTTATTCCTAAAGCATGACCTTCTGTGGTTTAAATGGAGAACTTGAGGTATCTACCAAGCTTCTCTAACTTGATAGGACTTGAACTCAAAAATTTGTCTTCTAGCCTTGAGAGCTGGTGAAATTTCTGCTTACCTCTTGCCTTGTAGTCATTGCAGGAGTAGACAGGTTTCTTGTAGACTCATTTTGTGCATGCATAGTTTAGATCACAGAGAAGGATTTGAGGTAGATTTATGTACAGGTTTATAGCTCCATATGTTAAAGGATCTTCACCTCAACTTCAAGCTGCTCTGGCAGCCCCAAATTGTGACTTTTGACTATTTAGTCCCATAGAACTTTTTCTGCTTGAGCCCTATCACCAATGAACTGTATAAACTGGAAATATGCTCTCTCAGGAATGGACAGTTAATGAATATCTTATTTAATGTATCTTTTATTTCAAGGGTTTGTCTTTTTTTTCAGTTTCTGTCTATTTTTTGGTTGTTTTTAGTACTTTGAAACAGATTTTTGTGCAATACTTCTAGATTTAGCATCTATTCTGATAATTGTAATTGGTTGTTACATATTTATTTTTCTTAACATGGAAGTTTTTTTGAGAGCAAAGGGTATGTTTTATTGATCTTTATTCTATCCCATTGTTTGATCCAGAGTAGTGCCTTTTACTTAGCAGCTACTTAGTAAATGTTGAATTGCATTGCTATTTTTATGAAGACCAACTTTGAGTCAGGATTTAAACGTAAAGTCTTAAACTCATTAAGTTAATTTCCCTTTTAGGACACTACTTTGAATATGAGTTCAAAGGAGATTTTTTTGGTAGATATTTTGAATTTTTGAAGTATAATAATCCCTTAAAACTTACTCTTTTTGAAAATTGGATTTTTAATCAAGGTTGATATCAAAAGATATTTTTTGTATTAATTTTTTTAAAATTTAAATTCAAGTTGGTTAACATATAGTGTAGTATTGATTTCAGGAGTAGAATTTAGTGATTTATTACTTACATATAACCCCCAGTGCTCATCCTAGCAAGTGCCCTCTTTAAAGCCCATCACCCATTTGCCCATCCCCTCACCTACCTCCCCTCCAGCAATCCTCAGTTTTCTATATTTAAGATTCTCTTATGGTTTGCCTCCCTCTCTGTTTTTTTTTTCTTTTTTTTTAAAGATTTTATTTATTTATTTGACAGAGAGAGACACAGAGAGAGAGGGAACACAAGCAGGGGGAGTGGGAGAGGGAGAAACAGGCTTCGCAGTGAACAGGGAGCCCCATGCGGGGCTGGATCCCAGGACCCTGGGATCATGACCTGAGCTGAAGGCAGATGCTTAACGACTGAGCCACCCAGGCACCCCTCCCTCTCTGTTTTTATCTTATTCTATTTTGTACCTGAAGCAAAATCACTTCTCTGTACAAAACAGACCAAAGGTATTTCTTTTATTTACAATAATGATAGTTTCCAAATTCTGTGTAGAATGTGGTTGAAAATAATATATTTGAATAATTTTATTTTTTAAAAAGGAATCTTCAATGTTATTTTAAATTTCTTTTAAAGATTTATTTATTTATTTGAGAGAGAGTGAGCAAGCGAGTAAGTGGGGGGAGGGGCAGAGGGAGAGAATCTCAAGCACACTCCCCACTGAGCATAGAGCCCTCTGTGGGGTTTGATCTCAACCCAGGAGATCATGAGCTGAGCTAAAACCAAGAGTCCGAAGCTTAACCAACTGAGCCACCTAGGCACCCCTCTTCAATGTTATTTTAAATTAGACTTCTCAAGATCAATCTAATGGACAATTTGTCCCGTCATGTCAAAATTATAATAATAGAATTTTTGGAGCAGTCATACAAATTTGCCTCAATATTATCAAGTTTAGTTTTCTCAATTAGTGGAGAAGTGACTCTGGCCCTATTCTTAATAAATTAATCTGTGTTTAGGTGTAATTATTATAGTCATTAACATTTACTTAATATTAACCATACTTGTTTTTCATAGATTAGATTAGATTTGAATGCAAAGAGGTATTATAAACTGGCTTTTTTCTTTAATGGAGTTTTTGTTTGTATGCAAATCTGGTACTTATTGCTGATCTCATTAGATAATCATGCTGAACCGATTATGTCAATCTCAAGAATAAGCTTTATTATTTGTGCCGTAACAAACCATAATTGTATTTGTCTATAAATTTGTCTTTTTGTTTACTTGAAAGAAGAACATTGTTAAATGAAGATAAAAAAACTTCCTTTTCCTTCTTTCTTCTTTAGAATCAAGTTTCTTACTGGGAAATGCCCAGATTGTGGATTGGCCTGTAGTTTATAGTAATGACGGTTTTTGCAAACTCTCTGGGTATCATCGAGCTGACGTGATGCAGAAAAGCAGCACTTGCAGGTAGGTAAGAGAACAGCCCAGGAATCTTTTCTGAAGTTTAAGTAAATGCTGCATGTGGTTAAACTACAGTAGTCCCCCACTTGACCTCGGTTTTGCTTCCTTGTGGTTTTTGCTTCCTGCAGTTTTGTTTCCTGTGGTTTCATGCTTCCAGTAGTTTATTACCCACAGTTTAAACTTCCAGGAGCAGATGCTCCTCCTTCTGTGCCTTTATCATTCACCTCACTTCCTCTCATTTCCTGTGAAATGCTACGCTATTTTCTCATGTCCCATCTTCACAAGAAAGGTGAGTACAATACAAAAGATGCTTAGAGAAAGAGAGAGACCACACTCACAAAACTTTTATTACAGTATATTGTTATAATTGTTATATTTTATTATTATTGTTAATCTCTTCCTGTGCATAATTAATAAATTAAACTTTATCATAGGTATGTATGTATAGGACGAAGAACCCAGTTTATACAGTGTTATGTACTATCTGCGATTTCAGACATCCACAGTGGGGGGTCTTGGAACGGATCCTCCCCAGATAAGGGGAAACTCCTGTGCTTAGATTCTCTGTGATACTGGGATTTATTTATAATAAGGAATATATATTTGGTCTTTGACACAGTTCCTGACACAGGGCCTTAAAACCCTTAGAATTTCCTGTGATAAGAACGATAAAGGTGCCTTTTATTATGTCAATGGTGACTTTTGGAAAGAGCTTAAGTAACCTTAGTATGGAGACTATTGCCAGGGGAACCATCCAGGTAATTGGAGGGTTGAAACATTCAGTACTCCAGCTCCTCAACCTCCCTACCTCTAGGTAAGGGACGGAGCTGGAGGTTGAATTAAGAATTAATCAGTCATGACTATGTAGTGAAGCCTCCATAAAAACACCAAAGGACAGGGTTCAGAGAGCTTCTGGGTTGGTGAGCATATGGAGGTACTGGGAGAGTGGAGTACGTGGGGACAGCATGGAACTCTGTGCCTTCCCCCCATACCTCGCCTGCGCATCTCTTTGATCTAGCTATGCCTGAGTTGTATCCTTTTATAATAAACTAGGGATCTGGTAAGTAAAATATTTCTCTGAGCTCTGTGTGCTGCCCTAGCAAATTAATCAAACCCAAGAAGATTGTGGAAACCTCCAATTTGTAGTTGGTAGGTCAGAAGTACAAGTAACAACTTGTGCTTTCAACTGGTGTCTGGAGTCTGTCTGTCTTGTCAGACAGAACCCTTGACTTGTGGAATTATGCTATCTCCGGATAGATAGTGCCAGAATTCAGTTGAATTGTATGACAGCTGTGCCTGAACCAATGTGAGTTCGTTCCTTGGTGAGTCAGAAACTGCACCAGGTTGAATATCAGTCGCACAAACAAAACTTTATCTGCAGCAAATAAAGACATGAAGGAGAATGGCTTCCAAAGCCGTGAGTCCCCAGAGCGGGGGTGAATGGATTCCTTTTATTTAGGGTTAGGATGAATATTTAGATAGGTAAGACTTATCATCGAATGCAGAGGTGGGCATAAGGTCACGCAAAACATGCTTATACCCACACTGTATGTTATGTAAATGAGGCTTGTGCTCCTCCAAGGGCGGAGACTGTAGTATTATAATGAGGTAAAGGTAGTTGTCGGTCATTCCAGAGGTTGCTCCGTGGTCCATCTGCGCAGGCGCGAGTTAGGGGTTAAGCTGAAACTGGTGCCTGTGCTGGGTCCACTGGAGGTCTTGTCAGCGCAGCCGCTTTTGCTTGGGGGGGGGGGGCGGTTTCGCTTTCCATTTGCTTGAGTTAAGAGCTAAGCTGGAAAGGAGAGCTTAAGGAAAAATGTGGGAGAAAGGTCGGTGAGTACAAGCAGGTGGGCAGTAAAGGTCAGGTCTTGGGGTCTAGCTGGTGATAGAACCAGCTGGTGTCCCAAGAATTGCTTGTTGGTGTGGAGACTGTCGTCCCCCTTTCCCCACCCCTCCCCCCATTGGTACCAGAATCTGTTTACTCACATATAAAAACCGTAGAGTAAAAATTGTATTAGAATATTAAGGAGACTAAATTATCAATGGAAAAATATAGTTTAAGAGCCCTTGGGGGGGAACTTGTGCAAAGAAAAAGCTTTTGCATATCTGTAAATCTGTTAATTCATTCAGTAAATATTTTTTGACTATCTGTGATGAGCCATAAACTATTCTAGGTGCTGAGTGATGAAAGGAGCATCCTCCATCAGAGAAACGCTGATGGTATCAGTACTTCTTGAGCTGCTAAAACGGTCTTGAACAGAGTAAACAGCCCCCAGCCAAGTAGGACGTAGTTCACGAACATTTAAAGAAGGTCAAAATGAAGTTTTTACATCCTGTGTAAATCACATGTACTTTGTAATGTTGGTACATTGTACCATTGCTATTTTGTTTGGCTTATGTAAAACAGAATCTGGCCTTTACATTATTTATAACAATTCTTTCTAAAATATGCCATATCTGTGAGTTTAAAGAGAGTATTATGAAAAAAGATCGTATAAAAGAAAAGGAAATTCTATAAAGGAACCAATTTAGATCTGAAAACTTTTTCACAATATTTCAGTAAGGCCAGATGGGAAGTTTTTTCCTTGAGTTAATTTTTCTTCAAAGCTCTCACTAAGAGCTTAACTAAGCACCAAAATCATGTTATTTTGGAACTATAAGGGAACTAAATTATCTTCTACTCCAAATCCTTTGTTTTCCAGAGCAGAGAACTGAGGTAGAGTTATGTTTAGGGACTTGCCCAGGGAAATACAATGATTTATTTGTATTTTTTCTATATATGCTGAAAAAAAAGATATATATATATATTCTACATCTTAATGGAAGCCAGGGATTTCATATTATACCAGTGAGTCTAAACCTGACTACATGTAGGAATCACTTGGAGAGGTTTTGCACCACATAGATTCCCAAACCTTACGTCTGGGAATCACCTGTTCATTCAGAATCACCCAGGGTGGGAGGTGGGGGCAGGTATCAGTACCTTTAACCATAGGCTCAGATGATTCTGATGTTTAGGCAGGTTTGAGAGATAGTTTGTTCAGATATGTTCCTTCACTTCTCTGGTCCCCACAATCTTCGTTTTTCTCTCTAAAGTTATTTCCACATTCAATCTTCACTCCCAGGTCTGAAATTGGTAAGCAAGAGTGATGGAAAACTGTGGCCCTTTATTGAGAAACTGCCTTTGGTAGCACTGATGTCTTTGTGCCTTTTTCTTCTGTTGGACGAATATTAGCTCCCAGGCCAGCACTGCCACTAAGGTGTGTGTTCTAAGTTCTGGGAGGTTAAGGTCTGTATTGAGCTTCTCTGTTCTCTTATGTCTCAGCAGGCTTAGGTTAGGAAAATGTTAGTTTTATGGTAGATGTTACTTATAGAACAGGCTCTACAGAGAGTTCCAGGGACTGTAGATGCTCCCATACCCATTTCTTCTTCTTTTTTAAAATTTTATTGTTATGTTAATCACCATACATTACATCATTAGTTTTTGATGTAGTTCTTTTTGGACTGTGGACATCCCACCATCATGCCATGCCTGTTTCAGATGCCATCTTCCACCTGAAGGTATTTATGATGCTCTCAACAAGATTTTCCTCCTCTGACTCCCTTGTGGTTCATTATTTGGCATCATCATCTGACCTTGAACTAGCTTCCCTTATCCCATGGGGTTTTCATTGCTATTGCTTTTGTCATTTTTGAGACATATTGCTCTTCATATCTGGATATATTGTAAAGTCCTGCTGCCATCTCTTCTTGATTCCGTGTATCAGCCTCTACTTCCGGTCTCTTTTCGTTGGCATGTGCAATGTGTCCTACAAAAGGGTTCATTAAAAAAAAATGCTTCCATGTTATATTAGCATATTCTCTCCCCTAAAAGAGCTGCTTTTTTCCTCCCACCACCAGTGTTAGATTATAAATGTCTTTAAGCAAGGTATTTCATCTTGTTCACTTTTGTATGCACTAAGGACACAGCTCAGTGTTTTGTGTTTGTATTTGTTGAATTCGATTGGCTTGTGTTGCAATAAACCCTAACCTAGGTCTTCTGTATAACTGTATAACATGCTTTTGTTTATTGTATTTCATCCCAAGTGTTACGGTGTTTAAGGTGGGTGAGAGAGCAGAAAGCTTTGGATTATGTTATGCTTTTTCACTGTGGGAAGAAGTATGCAAACCTTCCCCAGTTCTTCTTCACTATTGTTAGAGATGGTATTTTCAAAATGATAATATTCTTTTTTTTAAAGCATTTTTAAAAAGATTTATTTATTTATTTGAAAGAGAAAGAGTGTGCGCATGCAGGAGCATGAGTGGGAGGGAGGGGCAGAGGGAGGGAGAGGACCCAGAAGCAGACTCCCCGCTGAGCGCGAAGCCCCCTGTGGTGCTTGATCCCAGGACCCTGAGACCATGACCTGAACTGAAACCAAGAATCAGCTGCTCGGCTGATTGAGCCACCCACGTGCCCCTGAAATGATAGTATTATTAACGTAAACAGTTATTACTTGATTGCACAAAACACCCAAAGTGTTTGGCTGATCTAAAAATTGTAACCAGTTCAATGCCTTCACAGAACAATGAAGACTAGCATCTGATACATGAGCAGATGATACTTGAACCTTACCAGGTTTTCTTCTAGGCATAATTTATTCTAATGTATTCCCCTTTTAAGGCTCCTTGTCTCCTTTTAAAATAAAACTCTACCCATTTTATGTTTACTGCAGCATTTTTTAGAAGAATAAAGTCCTAGAAATAGTCAAAATGTCCAGTAGTAGGTTTGCTAAAAAATATTATGGCAAAGCCTAACTTTCTAAATCATATGTTGGAAGGATAAGACACTGAAAGAAGCTAACAACATTTTTTTTTTTGCTAACAAATATTTTTTAAGTAAAAAAATCAACCAACCAAACAAACAAAAAAATAGTTCACAGAACAGTATCTGCATTTTGATTCTGATTTTTTTTACATATGGCTTTTTTCTATTTCCTGTATAAGTCTATAAAAACCTTTGAATATCTTGC